ATAAAATGTTTCAAATTTTGTATTCTCATTAAAAAGTACACGAAACAAATTTGTAGCATCGCATAGAAAGCTTTGGGAAACAATACAATGTGCACGGAAATCCCAGCCCTGTGATTATACTATAGTAATAATTATAATGAACCTTTAATCAAACTTTTTTCGCACTTGTCGTTCACTCGGAAGTTGCTAGCCTACAGTAGATACACATAAAATAATACAAAATTCAATAAAATTTACGTCTACAGGTCTGCAAATCCGATAAAGTTTTTCCGTTATAAAGTTACCCAGCGTTATTAGTTTTATAAAGTAAAATAAGATCTTACAATGATTGTACTATTTATTTGTTTTATATTATTTCGTTAGCTCATGTATGATAAATTTTAACATATTCCCAATAGCCGATGTTACTATACTGGCTAAAAAAAAAAATTCCCAGTAAACTACTAATAATTTGTTTGTACAGCTTTGGATCACGGATTTTTCTCGGTAGTACACTGTTAATATAAGTAAACAAGTCCAGATGTTTATTCCCACTCTATCATTTTAAAATAACATATATACTATACATTTAAAACAAAAAAATAACATAACTATTATAAACTACTACTATGAACTAATAAAACTAATAAAAATGCATGAGAGGTTATTATGTACTGAAAACGATAAATGTGCATAATAATTAAGAATGTAATAGTTCATTTTTTTTTTAAATACGTAAAAAATTATTTAAACATTAATACCTTAATTTTTATAGTAATCTTATAGTAAAAGTAATATAACTTTAATAAGTCGATGGCCAGTATGATCTTGCTGGATTTCGAAAAATCAATTTTCTTCGCTTTAGAAACACGAAATTAAATCGAAATTTCTACTAAAATAGTCATTGAACGATTGACTAAGAAAATGTGTAATATATTGTATTCAAATTTAAAAAAAAAAACCTTAAATTTAAAGGAAATATATATCAGGAATTATATCAGCATATGAAAGTGCATCAAATTCACATCTTAAATGGTAAGTGCCGTCTTCGAGAAAATTTATTTGCTTTTCTTTTACACCAATTTTATTTATTTTATTATTACCTATTTATTCGTTTAAATTTTGAGCGCTCCGAAGAGTACATTGGAAACACATTAATTTGTTTTTATTGTTTTTTCCGTTTGTTAATAAATTTTTACTAAACGTATAGCTCAAGTGTAATTTTTTTTTCGACGTAGTAAAATGAGCGTTTATAGTATAGTATAGTAGTTTATTTTTATGAGCGTTCCAGTTTGTAACGAAAATTGTACGAATGACGGCATTTCAAAACATGTTTAACCGAACTTCGCTCAGAATTGTTTTACGTTAGAAATGATTCATCGTTAAGTATAGATATAATATAAATTACTTTATATATCTATCATATCTTCCCAACTTATAAGTTATAATAGTTAATATTCAAAACACTTTACATTTGGTAACGTCTTACGTGGAATAATTTTACTTTAATAATATAACACACAACATGAAGATTTTATTCACAAAATCATTTCATTCGGTATATACATATTTTTTATAATTTTTGTTTTTTTTTAAAACGTCACACAAATTCGTGAATAGGTATACTTAAATGCTATTTGTTGTTGGGTTATATCTATATTATGCGAGTATTAAGTCAAGAGAAAAAATGATAATTCTCTGCGTACAAGGACGTTGAAATATTTAGGAAACTTTGAAATAAATCGCCTAACGTCTGAAGTAGGAGGCCATGAAGATTAAAAATCATGATTTTATAATTATGTTTATGACTTTAATATAACATTGAACAATCAACATTAAATTAACGTAACGATGGTGAAGTATTTCCTTTACGTAGAACTCATCAACTCGTCACTTGTGTTTTGTCTTTTTCACATTATAAGCGCGTTTTAATGGCGTTTTGGTACCCAATTAGATAGGTGTTGTAAATGCAATAAACACACAAAACCGTACAAACATTAAACTATAATGTAACTATGTTATTATAATTATTATAAATAATAATAGTTTAAACTCTCGGATACTAAATTTGCTGAGGTTTAAAATGTAGGCTGCAAAATGATAAACCATTCGAATACTATCGTTTATTATGATACTCATTATAATAATATTATGAATTCTAATATTATATGGGTACTGTCACTGGAGAATATTTGTGTATTTTATTGTGATTTTAAATTGAATTTCATTATATTCATTTGGAACCAAACAATTATTTATAATGCAATTTCGATTCATGTTAGTTCGGGTATTTGTTTTAAGTGTTTCGACCAAAATACTGCATATCGATACAAATTTTAAATACCTTGCTCATGCAGTTAACTTTCAATTACTATTATCGTAATGGTAGTCTATCGATTGAACATCGATAAAAAAAATATGTTTTAAAATGATTTAATTTAAAAAAATATGTATTTGTTTTTTTTTCTTATCGCTTTCATCTCAGTTTTTACCGACACAAAATTATATATAGGTATATAGGATATAGTCAATACATTAATACATTAATGTACATCAATACACTGTACACTAATTTAAACTTTAACTGCACTAAAGTAGCCTTTTACGATATTAACTTAAGAATTTAAAAAAAAAATAATAATAATAATAATAAATAAATGTAACATTAAATAATAGACAACACGAAAATAATATGCTCAATATAAATAATAAAAAACTGATACTGTTGATGGGTATGCCACTGTTGTAGATAGTAAATTGGAAAGTCGTGTTAGATAGAGTAGTTTTATTTATATTTGTACGCGACATACCATATAATTATGTTTATTCTTTTTTTTGTGGATAATTTTTCTACCAGTAATTTTGCTCGAACATTTAACATTAGCAATTTTTCTAAAAGGAAACTTTACTGAGGAGATACTTCAGAAAGGTCGTTTTTCAATTGTCTCAGCAAATGTGAAAAACTGGGAAAAAACATAGGAAATTCGGAAAAAAAGTAAGAAACCGGGGAAATCGGTACAACATTAAATAAATATTATTAATGAAAATATATAGAGTCTATTTAATTATTTTACTATAATATGGCATATTATGTAGACAAAGCATTACTATCAACTGAACTCCGCTCAGAATAGTTTTTTCGTAAGCAATGGTTTATCGTTGCTTACAGTTATACATTAATGTACCAATAACAGTGGCTACACCCATCCTCATTATCATAGAACGTCTTTTTTTCAAGTGCTTTTTTCAGAGCTTTGTTGACGTTTTTATGTGGTTTTTTGTGGATTTTAAGTGCAATAAGTTCCGAACCCTATACATATTATAAACTCATTTCCCCTAATTAGTTTATTAATTTTCTACTAAATACCTATACGATTTTACGTTGATGTGGTTGTAAATATTCAAATTCGATGGGTACTGCCCCAGCATATATTACAGAATTTAAAGTCATTTAAAGTCATTATCGAAAAACGACTTCTTTATTACTCACCAAATAAATTCAAAATCATCACATCGTAGTAAACCAAGGCAAAAAATATAATACGAGTAATATAATAATATTTACAACTTTAAAAAACAAAAAAAGGCTGATACAGCTTGTAGGTATGTTATTATTTTAGGAGGAAAGTTGTAAGGGAGGATATAAAATATAGATTAAATTTTAATCTGTACGACGCAATGATAAACCATTGTTAAAGTAAAACAATTTTGAGTAGTGTGTTATTAGTCGTATTATTTCTTTGTTGCACGGTAACTCAGAAATCAAAAAAAAACGTATACAAAACATTGCTAGTTTTTCTTCATTTATTAAGAAAAATACGGGGAAAATAAAAAAAAAAGTTACCTTCTTATTTTACCAATTAAATCGACGATTCTACAAAACAGTACCAAAAAAATTTCAGAGCAAGACTTCTGGTAGAAAAAATGTGAACAGACAGGAAAAAAAAAACACAAACACACACACACACACGCCATAATAAAACTAATAAATTCATTTAATTGCTACGTTTAGAATTAAAATTTATGATTTAGATCACGCACATATGTAATATGCTGAACCGGATTTTTTTTGTACTCTGAGCTATTTGTTTGACTATCAGTAAAAAAAAAAAGCACGACGTTAACAGTAATCAAAATAAACGCTTAGAACGAACACGATTTTAAGTTTTTGCGGCCATGTTCATAATAATATTCACCTATAGGCTATAGGCTAAGAATAATAATAATATTATAATGGGTCAAGTTTATCGAGAGGACTGGATTATCGCCGCGCCGGTGGTGGTCGCAGGCCCGAATCGAGCAGAATTTCGCAGTCCCGCGAATCGCTGGAGAGTCCGGGCCTCGGGGATCTATAGAACCTCGGTTATTGTACCTAATATTATATATTATATCATTTCCATACAATCGATTGTATGTATTTCGGTTTTCGTCCTCGGCTAAAATCTGTATTGTTATTCAATTTATCACTTCGTATACAGGGTGTCCAATCGTGTTTTCCCGATGCTAATATATTCTCTTTGTTAGTTTTTCATTTTTTTTTTTTAAATTTTCGTTTTGTTCAATCGGATTTCGTGTTGGGGGAAAATATTTAATAACTGTCAAAACAGCCGCTTTGTAACACGTACGGACATTGTTCTAAACGTAATGTTTTTAACGGATCACACACCGCTGGCGCATGTCGGGCAAACAGTTTCTCGTGGCGGTATTATCTGTTACGACGCGGCTGTTTTGAAAACGTTTAAAAGCAAACGATAAAAACGGAAAAAGTGATTTTTTTTTTTTTGTCCCACCCTTGTCCAGCGATTAAGGGCGTTCGGAAACGAAAACCGTTCTCCGTGCGTTCGTTAAAAACTTTCGGTGCCGTCCGTCAGGGACACCGGGGCACCGGGAAAAGCACGGCGGAACGCCCCGTACGCAGACGCGGGCACGGCCGCGTAGGTATACCGTATTCCGGCGGACCGCGGGCCGTACCGTGTGCGGCGGAATCCGCGCGATCCCGTGGCAAAACGTCTTCGGCGGCCGCGGTCGCTCGCCCGGGGCAATAGTGAAAGTACGCCGGCCACGATATTAGCATAGCGTCGTTATTATTACGTCCGCCGCTTTCCTACCACTCCGCCGATATTCTTGCGACCGCCGCGTACACCGCACCTGTTGTCGGGCCGTCGTTCGTGCGGCAAGCACATTGAAACGCCGTCAGCGGACCAGCGCGCACACGACTCCTACTGCTACCGTACACGCCGCATTCGCAGACGCACGAAGACGAAACCAAAAAGGTAAATTGCTTACGGTCATTACAACGTTCGGGCTATTGTTAATATGCACGCGCGCGGATTCGGTTTTTTCGTTCCGGCGGTACCCGACGAAATAATATAACGACGGCAGTCGCGTCGCGCACGCGCCCGGAATCGTTTTGAGGGACGGGGTGTTCGAGTGTATTCCGATCGCCACGTTCGAACAACGGTCGGTCGGCGGCCGGTTCGTTTCGGTTCGACGATACACTGCGATATTTTTAGCGAATGATCGTCCCGTCGGAATGCATGCGGCCGCAGAGGGACCGTTTCGGCCGTCGAACGGTTTCGGTGTTTTTATTTTTGCTACCGAACGTTTCGGATGTCGTTCGGCGAACGCCGAATTCGACCTGCTGTCGCAGCGGTACACGCACGCAGCTGTTCGCGCAGCCGACCGTTTGCTGTTTTGCTCGTTATATCGCCGTCGTTTCGTTCGTATGAAAAATGTTTGTTTGCGTAGCAGATAAACGGCGTACCGTCATAGTACCTACACCCATTTTTACGCATCGGCGCGAGTTTATCGGCGGAATTCGAATTCCGCATAGGTACGCGGATGGAAAGTTTTTTTCGAATAGAAATCGCCGTCACCGTCGTACGTTTCGCCGCGAGTTTCCGTGTACTGGCTGAAATAGAATGTGAAAAATATTCCAAAACTCGTACGCGTCGTGTATGACGCATACAAAACACCCGCGATATCGTTTATGGTAGGCGTTTTTACGAAAACGGGCGATGGAACGAATATTCGGTTTGCGCATTAAACTATTAATTCGGCAATTTCGTCACGGTTATTATGACGTATGATCGTCTAAAAATGCGAAAAAGACATGGTGTTTGTTATATAATTATACTAATCGAGCCATTTAGAAAGCCCGCATTTAGGTTAGGCCGTTTCGAGTGATTTAGCCGTTTGGCAACCGCGCCGTTTTCATAATGCCATTAAGCATTGTTTCCAGAATTTAATTCGCTTGCATTGAAAACCACACGGAATCGACTCGAGCCGTTCTTCTTCCCCGGGACCAAAGATAGTGTATAGTGACGTTCGTAATAATAATTTGCCAATTTTGCGTCGTCCGTTTACTGCGTTGTATTATTACTATCTTTCTGTATTTTTTCGCCTCTCTCGTTTTCACGCTCCAGTTTTATATTTCAACGAAACAAATATTATTACTCGTGATCGGTACCTGTATAGGAACACACCGTACTCGTTTTTCGCTAATCATCTGCACCGTGCGACATGCGCGCAATTATTATTAACTATGTATACATATATATATATTGTATATTTAGGTAACGCGGCGACACGTTATATTCGAACAAAAATTATTATTTGACTCGTATTTCCGGTTGTTACGTCGTATAAAATAATATATAACGATTTTACTTATACCTATGTGTATAACATGACGTTTCTCGCTTTCTGACGACCGTGTGCGCAATGTTATCGTTAAAATCGAGTGTATTATATTGTTATAATGTTATTACGCGTAGGTAAAATAATAATAATAATAATAAAAAAAGCGTAGAAATTATATAGAAAGTATATGTTTTGTCGACGTTGTATTTTAACGCGCGATGACTAATATTATTAATTATTATCGTAGCTGATGCGCACAACTTTTCATTTTCAAGGTTATTTGTCTACATAATAATCTTCGGCGGACCTATAATTGGTACAGTGTCCGTTTTCTGTCGGTTAAAAAATGATTCTCGTGCAGCGTGTATGCCTACACGTCAGTCGACGATTACAAACAATATGTTTTCGAAGGCGCATAATATACTAACCTATTAAATCATACGGCCCCGATAAACATAATGCAAGACACTTGTTATTTCCGGAAAGTATTACACATTTTGTTCGGGATTTGTTAACAATCGGCTTTTAAATGTTACATTACCGTAATTTTTTTTTCACTGTCCACTTTTGATTTCAAAACAGCAAGCAATATTAAAAATGTCATAAATAAATGGAATTTCGTTTTAAATAAAACATTTACTGTTGGAAATTTTCAATTTCCGTCAACCCGTTTGCCGAGATATTCCCCTTTTAAATTTACGCTTTTGCTGGTCGGTGGGGATTAGCGGAGCACTATTCAAACGCGGCGAGCCGCGCTCACACACAAATGATACTCCACTAGCCAAATTTAAAAGTGTTATATCTCGTTAATATCAACATTTATTCAAACCAAACTCCATCTTTTTATAAAATGTTTTATATAGTCCGCTATTTAAAAACATAAAAACTTGGTAGAGATTTCACCTCGTAAAACAAGGGTAATCAAAAATAACGATAATTTATTTAATTCTTACGGACGTAAAGTCTATAACAGCAATATAATTTGTATACGATGATATTACATGGCACTTAATGACTAAATTTAAATTGCTCTTAAATTCAATAAGTTGGTCGTTGCTAAAGAAAAATAAAATAACCCTACACATTATTTACATAAATACACCTTAATATTAATCATGGCCAATAATTCAGGGCTATTTATCGGATTATTGAGTATTTTGTGCAAACAATTAAAGTGAACATTTTTTTCTTCTCGCTTCTAAAGTATCTGAATGTGAACAATTAAGAATCTACATACCTATATACGGTGAATGTGATTATGTATACGACACAAATGTTACATTGTACAATAATAGTATTTAATATTGCATTTTAAAGCTACTTATTTCTTAAACGGTCTAAAAAACAAACTTCGAATTACGTTTCCGATATAACGAGTGTCTTACACTATGTTGATCACTCAGTATTCTATTGTAGTATTATTATAGTGTTATATATATGCTACCAAGTGGATAATTTTTATTTTAATTCTCAATATATACTTGCAGTGTTTGAAATGAAATAATATTTTATTCCGACAAAGCCATCGTGGTAAACGTTGATAACAGTTGGCGATTTATCTTCCGCCTCCTCCATAAATCTATTTTTCACACGTCTGTATTAAAACTTGCGCCATCATTGCCGATGCACACGTATACATGTTACGATATTATAACCAATTTGTATGTTCGATTTCGCGGATCATCGTGAAAATTATCTCCTCGCTATAATAATATGACTATCGTAAAACTGAGTTTATTTTTGGTTTATCGAAGGACGTGCGTAGTGTTTCGTCATTTTGGAGTCTGCATCATGAACGGCTCGATGGTGAACGTCGCAAGGACTCGCCGGCGGGCTTCCGTTTATGACCACAACAAAAGGCTACCCACCATAATTGTAAAATATTTCCGATTAACACCTAATGTAACTTTATCGAACATTAGTGCAGTAGATTTATAATTTTAACACAGATGAAAAGTGTGCTCACCGAAGCTGATTTCATCGTGTTTACTCATGGGGTCGACATTGATATTATTATTATATTCTGCAGTGATATAATTTTAAAACTAAATAAATACTAAATTTAATTATCTAGTTAAATTTCAAAAATGTGTTTAATAGATATATCCTTACCAGTATGGGTGCGATGATTTTTACCTAGAAATACCGATTTAATTTTCCACCCACTACAAACCGAAAATACCCCCACCCTATCACAAATGTATTTAAATTTGTTAAATTTCAATAAAATTCGTCAAATTTATCAAAATCTAAAATTCTTTTAATGACTTTTGGTTTATAAAAATATCATAATTTTTTGTTATATTTCTGAATATTTAGGCACCCACGTCCAACCCACCCGTTTTTTTTTTATGAATTACTTGATTCAAATATACTTGAATATTCGAGCCGCCACTGATCCCTACAGTCTTACGCGAATTCAAGTGGATTGTTATGTAAAACGCAATTTAAGACGGTCGCACTCACGATTGACAAATCTAGAGCGTTTTTCGATGAGAAAACTTAAAAAATAAAAAAAAAACATATTTTATCGGTTCTACTGACACCTTTGAGATACGAAGGTATTTTTATTTTTTTGAAGGTTAGGTCAGACACATTGCCCAACTTTAATGGGTCCGGCCGGTAATAATAATATTTCGTCCGACGACGGTTTCGTGCGGTCGGCCGTACACATAATAGTTATGCAACGGCCGATTATTTTGATCGCGCACATACAACGGGTAAGGTAGCCAAACGCACTTTCTCTTTCGCCAACGACACTCGAAGACGTTTACGGATACATACCTATGTGTACAATACGCGCGAGCACCGTCAGTAATACGACCGCGGAAACGACCGGGTTTTCGTAAACGAAAATTAATCCACACATTTTGCGAATACTTATGTTATATTATTATACACCGGGTACGCGAAGGTACACATTTTGAAAAAAAACGTTTCCGTTTTTTCCTCAGCCGACAAAATGACTCTCGTACAACCAACCGTCGAGATGCAACAGCATATTCGTTCCGAGCTCAACGAGGACCTGACCACCCGTGAAAAAGATCTGGAACACATCAAGGAATGGTTACAGATGCAACCGCACTTGCCCCAGTTTCAAGGTAAGCTATAGACTTTATGGCACCTGACACCTATTAAAGAGAGGAGGGCGGTGTTTTTTTACACAATTTAATTCCCGTGAGTTTATTATCACCTACGAATAAAAATATACATTATACCCAGGTAAAATAAAATGTGCACTGTATCGATAAGAATTTTTCAACGTTTAGACGTTTTGTGGCGACACTGATTAAATAATTTTTATTTATAATAGATGGTTTATGATTTGATAAATGATGACTTTTTAAATTGTATTATTAGTATTTAGTATTTTGTAGAACGCACACACGGGCCAAGAGGGGATGCAGTCTACATGTCGCTCCCCTCTAAAATCCCCAGTGACAATTGGAAGGTACTTTTAAATATTTCAACTGTTCTCGTCACTTCAAAACTATAATCGCTATTGTGTAGTAACAGTAGAAACAGTATAGGTACTAGTATCTAGTATTCTAGTAGAAATTTCCTAATCCACATGCTGTGGTAAAAGTTACATAATATCACAGACTAAACATAATTTGCGTCCGTCATTATTGTGTTTGTATAAGTATACCTACGCCAAAAAGACTGTACACTTATACAAACGGTAATTTATTTGCTGGAAAAAAAATAATATAATAACAAGACGAATTGTAATATAAAACGCATCACATAATTGAAAAAATCACGTTACGTAAAGTCCGATAGAGTACATCGTGTAAAATATAAAATAAGTTGTACGGTAATACTATTACTATGCTGTACGCTTACAGTATGGATACTCATCGTAACGTTTACGATTTCATTAAAAATTGCACGTGGAAATTAATCGACTTTCATACATATATAAATATATAAGATGTTGTCTATCGAATCATCACAACTACTACGCCCGCCCTTATGGTGATACCTCCCCCACCCCTAACTGCTGGCTCCATAACTCTCTTTAGTACTCCTCACTATTTATCCCAACATCCTTCTATCAATAATATCACATTTACTTGTATTACTATACAATTATACTTGCGCGTATCTTATCTTACGTTGTTTTTTCCGGAAAAATTTCTAAAACTTCCGATTTTAATTAAAAAATAAAATATATATTTACAAGGTGATCCATTTAGCATCCTCACCCCATTTGTATAGTAAAATTTTGTATACATTCAAATTATGATTGATAGAATTTTTAAGTGTAGTTAAAGCCGATATTTTCGAATACTTAGGTTTTTCACAATATTTCAGAAGTATCTTGTAACAATATCAACTTTGTTTTTTCAAACGAGAACCTACATGTTTTAATGCAAATTGTATATTAGATGATTTTTTTAAAAACTTTCGAATCTTTATCATTGGAATTTGAACAAAAAGTTTCTGAGTTATTCTACTTTAAAATACTAAAGACTTTAAATATTCCACTATTCTCCCCCTACCCAAACTTAAAAGTAGAATAACTCGTCAACGGATTTACGGAAAGCAAAAATATTAGCATTAAAATTTGTTTAAATTAATACTTCAACTATTTATGGAATTTTTAATATAGGTTCTCATTTTAAAAACCAAAGTCGGTATCGAATCTCCTTAAATATTGTGAAAAGTATACGTAAATGTCAACTTTAACTATAGACTTAAAAATTATAAAAATAAAAATGTTAATACATGCAAAATTAAACCATAAAAATTAGTTTAGCATGCTTAATGGATCACTCTGTATAAATATTTTTTTATGAGCTATTTAAATTTAACATATTCGTTTAGTCTTCTGTATTGTTGCCGGTGTAATTACCTACGATATATATTAAATCAAATGTTAATTGTGTCTCCTTTCAGATGATGTCCGTCTCATGACGTTCCTCCGAGGATGCAAATTCTCACTAGAAAAGACCAAGAGGAAACTGGACATGTATTTTACAATGCGAGCAGCGGTACCCGAATTCTTCGCCAACCGAGACCCAACATTACCAGAAATCAAAGAAGTGATGAAAACTGTGTACGTAATGTTATCATCCCATTCGCAATTATATTCTTTAATTGGCTTATACAAAAATAGAATAGTTTAGTCTTACTTAGCAGACATATTATGCATAGAATAATTTCATATTTATTTTTTTTTTTTGTAGTTTTTTAACCTTCTTAAGCATACATTTTGTATGAGCTGTGGGAAAACGTACAATTTCAAGATTTCATTATTTTATAAAAACATGGACGGCGTTTTCTATAGAAAAAATGATTTAATCGAAAAATCGCAGGACACCTTTTTTTATTACCTTTTTGATTTAATTTCTTATGGTATCATCGCCAAAACTTTTGAACCACGTCTAAGCTTTTAAGAAATTTTAATTTTTGAGAGTTTTTGCTATAATTCGGTTATAAATACACGTAGAGACTTGAAATTTGTAATAATACTTATATTGAACTTACTTAGACGTCGTAAAATTTCCAAAATTATCGGACGACTCTTCTTTTTTTTTTTTAATAAGCGTTTTGAAATTAAATATAAACGAAAATCGCACAAAAAATTACGGCATTTCCAATTATGTACACTAGGTACTACGAACTCCGCTCAAAATCGTCTTTTGTTAGTAATGGTTTATCGTTGCTTAAATGTAAAAGTTAAATAAATGTATGTATCCTATCTTCCCAACTACCAACCTACAACAGTGGCCGCACCCATCTTCAGTATCAGCTCTTTTTTTATTAATTTTTCATGTACCTATTTCATTCTACAGAAATGTACCGCCACTTCCCGGTCTGACACCAAACGGACGTCGTGTAGTCATGTTGCATGGACTGGATGTAGACCAGATCTCTGCAACCGTGGTCGACGGTATGAAAGTAGTATTGATGATCGGTGACATAAGATTGAAGGAGGAACATATCGGCGTGGCCGGAGACGTGTACATTTTGGATGCTTGCGTGGCTACACCACAAAATTTTGCCGCCCACTTTGCCAAGTTCACGCCAACTTTGCTCAGAAAGTTCCTCACCTGTGTACAGGTATACTTATATTAAATATTTGTATAAAACTTACAACGGAACACACAATTACGGGGTAGTAAGATTTTGACACCTTAAAAGGCTGATCTAACTTGTGTAATAATTCCTTTTTGCTATAAGAAACTATAGTAGTTTAAATAGCAAATTCCTTACATACATTAAACCTAACTACCATAACGCAGTTGCTAAAATTTATTTACTTGTCCAGCTTTTCGTTAATGCCTACCGAATATTTAACACCAAACTTAGTTTTCGGATAAGCATGTTTTTTTTTTCAAATTCAATATTACATTTTATAAAATACGTATATAACATGTATATTTTTGTATTTAATAAAAGTTTTAAAATTATGGATTATTAGCTTGAGTACAATATTTATGTTACTTCTTATTAGCTAAGGTATTTAATTTTTACAGTGTTAGAAATTCATTATAGGTTTAGTTTTTGTTAATAATTTCATGATTTTGTTTTCTTTGAGGGCTTTTTTTATGTTCAGTGATATAGAGAAATTGATTCTTGTGTCGCGGTACTTCGTACAACCTTAAAAATTTGATGGACGGACAGAACAAGTGGGCATTTATCGCATATAGATGGTGGGTTTTTTTTGAAAATAATGTGTTGCGAAGGAGTATTCTATTCTGGTTCTTGTAATGACATCTACTTATCGTTTGTTAAAGTGATGAGAAAGAGCAATTTTTTAGTATTTTTCTTAATAGTTTTAAGTTTAGTGAATGGGACGGAGTTTCAATAATTTTGTCATATCGTGTATATTTTTAGTTTGATGGTTGATTTGATTTTATTTGTTGGCATAATAATATTGTTTTATATTTTTTTTGCATTTTACCATTTATAAAGATTAAATAAATTCATAATATTACGATAGTAAGCTTGAATAAACATAATGCGTAGGCACAGAGAATGCGTAGTAAATAGTAATAACTAATAATAATAAATAAAAAAAAATAGTTGACATTTTTTTCCTTGTTAATCGTTTTTCATCCTATTTCAGGAAGCCTATCCAGTTAAATTGAAGGAAGTACACGTAATAAACGCTTCATCTCTTGTTGACACAATAATCAACTTTGTGAAGCCTTTCCTTAAAGAAAAAATTCGCAACAGGGTAAGTGATTAAAGTTTTGCTCTTCACCAAAAAATGTATTATGTTCCGATTCTGAATTCACTACTGATTTGAATCCGGTCGAATGTATAATGTATAATATAATTAATACGAACTAAATGTTTCGTTAAATTTTTTTCTCGCACAGATCCACGTACATTCGAATGTAGAAACGCTATACGAATACGTGCCAAAAGACATGTTACCAGAGGAGTACGGAGGTCAAGCCGGACCGATAGCTGAAATAAACCGTAAATACTTGACGAAATAGTATATTATTTTCGTACTTACGGATAATTTAATTTTTTTCCCCGTGTGCACATAGGCCAGTGGTATGAGAAATTAGTGACCTACAAGGATTGGTTTAAGGATCAGGAGAAAATCAAAACCGACGAGTCCAGGCGTCCCGGAAAACCCAAGACCAACGACGATCTTTTCGGGATGGAAGGTTCCTTCAAACAGCTCTCTATCGATTGAGCGCGTTAACATCGTTATTTTTTTATATATATAAAAGTATTTTACGTATTCGTATTTTTTTATATTGTTATACAATTTAGTGGATACTTCACAAAAACTGGGTGGTAGCGCATGTTTACATAATATTATTATTTTATCGTATAAATCTCACACCACAGTTCCGAATATATTGTATACATTTTTTATTATATTACTACCTATGATCGCATTAACGGCGATTCAAATATTTTGTGTATACAACAAAAGATAGGACCCTATAATAATACTATTATTACTTATATTGTCCTATACACGAGCATTAATTTTCTTACATATACTCTTATAATATAATATATTATATCTGTAAAACCATGCGGCACCTACGATAGTAGGTACTATCACGTTGACTTTTAGAATAGTTTATTTTTCAATAAATACCTATACTTTATTTTATATTCGATTTTAAACACGATAAGATATTAAGATATCATCTATAATCTCTAGATTGTATTTTTATTTTTATTATTATTTTACCTCTTTTATACCAAATTAAAACTTTGCAACTACAATATTACGTATATCTACGATTTGTTCATTTTTTTAGGGACAATTATTTTATATCTGGCCATCTGGATTTACACGGAACGTAATTTATGGTCGTATTTCGTAAATTACTTATTTATGATTCACGAACATGATTTCAAAAAACATCACACAAATTGTGAAATTGTTTACACGTGAACACTATTTTTGATAAAAAATGTAATCGTAATAGTAACGAAATCATCATGTGTTTTATCTACTGTACCATGCCCCGCGAATAGAGTATACAATCCCGAGATTTCAAGATTTATTGAAACTAATCCCGAAATCACATGTTTACATATGAAAATTTGAACAGTTTGTTAACAATTTAATATTAATGAATAATAAATAATCTACATAAAAGTACAAAAAATGAATAAAAAAAAAAAAAAACAGGAATTTTATTTTAATTCAAAAGCGTATGAACAAAAAAAAAGGTTGATTAGTGTATGATTATTAAGGAATGAAATTGGAAGAGGGGATGTATAGAGTAATTTTATTTATATCTGTTCGCAACGATATTAGTTAAAGTGGAAACAGAACCCTTCTTTTTATTTTTAAATTATTATTCTCATTTATCTACTTTTCTGACTATCCTGAAAATTTCAGGATAAGTTATACAGTAATCCCGGGATTGTATTCTCTATCCATGATTGAACTCAACTTGATACTCAAGTTCGTGGTTGTGTCTTTTTCACGATTCATTACTTTGATCATTTATGCGTAGTCTTAAAATCATAATAAGGATTTTCCTCTCAAATATTTCCATTTTAATTTTCTCCGTCTTCCTGAGCATCACGTTTCCAAACCGTACATGAGGAGGAGTATCAAAGAAGGTTTTCAAAAATGTATAATAATTACATTTTTTAAGCCTGATTTTAACAGTACCCTGTTAAGGGAAGGGGCTAAGGGAGCAACTGCCCTAGAGCGCCAGAGGTACCACAAGTGTGTGGCGTCAAATGTTAGATTAGGTACTAAACACGATGATCGTCCTAGAGATTGCCAATGATAATTAGCACGGTACTAGTTATTAAATCTCGCCTTTAATTCCGTAGTTAATATTAACCCAAAGTATTTAAATTGAGATATTCCTTAAAAATGTTGACCTTATACTTCCATAAAAGTATCCAGTATTATCTATACCTACGTTTATAAAATAGTTTATGAAATAATGTAAATAATGTACGTTCGTACATTATCCTTGACTAAGACGCGAGGATACATTAAACGTATAAAAATATTACCTTTAACAATATGTCATAATTGACAATATTATTATCGGTGTAAATAAGCAGTTGGCGTATATTGATTGAGGCGCGTTGAATTTCACGTTTTACACGGCATGATATCGATCACAGACAATATTTTAATGACCAGGGAACGTTTTGGAAATGAAGTTCGTATAATACTATACATAGGTACTTAATTATATATATATGTATAGTATAATACATAGGTATTATACTTAATATAGAAATATAAACCCGATCATCCAATAGTATGACTGAAAATCTGGCGTTCCGAAATTAATGAGGTTTAAAGCAAACTAATTGGCGAAAAATTCTAAGTAGCTATGTGTGTGACCGCTTGGTCGGGTATAAAATATAATTATTTTTCGATCAAGAATATGTTTGAAAAATATTTTCAGGTTTAGTGAATATCTATTCATTTAATTTAAGCTCCGGAAAGATAATTGCCTTTAAACCGTGTCTTATTATTAGTCTTAATCTAAAAATTTCTCAACATCAGAGAGAGAGAGAAACATGTTATGAAGATAAATATTATAAATATTTGTATACGTCTCGAGTGTTAATATTATAATGGATAGGGAAAAAAAGCATGTACACAGGATATATTGATTGGAACATTTTACTTGGATTTTTAACTGGATTTCATACTTTTAGATTCTAAGCGTAGCCGAGAAATGTATTGATTTGACAATGTGTTTTTATTTCTGGCTACGAACAATTTTCCTACAAAATATCTTCCTCCGATCATTATAAATGGTTTTTGGTAACAAATTTTACCTAGTTGGTACATTGTGGGAGTACATTTTTAATTTTCCTTAGAGTTATCTTAATAATTGAGAAAAAACGGGAAAATGTACGTAATAATAATGACTTTTAATATTATTTTGCTCAGAATCGTTTTTAACTTGCAATAATTTATTTTTTTTATACCACTTATAAACTTAATTGCTCTGTTATATCCTATCTTCCTGACTGCCCATCTACAACAGTGGCCAATCTGAAAAAAGTATTAATTTTTCTGTCATTTTTAATATATTTTAATACTAACTTTTTTTATATTTTATTTTAATATATTTTAGTGTAATAATACAATTGTTTGGAAACCTAGCTATTTTACAGTTGTTTTTTGTTAGTAGATTTTTCGTGCTTGGAAACCGTTACTCTAGTAATATAAAAATTAGGTATTTTTAGGGTTCTGTGTTACTCTACGGAAAATACCTACTTCATATTAGTAATAATTGTAATTCTATGTTTGCCAATGTGTTAATAATTACGAGCAAAACAAATGATTGTTTCAAATTTAATAATACCTATGTATTTTTATTGAAATATTAATTCCTACGGCTATGAAAACCGGACCATTTTCAAATAGACTGAAACGATTATTCACGCCCGAACAAATATTAACTAAAACGTGGAAAAGAATAATTATTTATGTCAAACGGTTATTCCTCTCTTCCCCTCTTTTACGTATGCGTGATAAAAAGTCCAATTCACCTAGACTACTCTGTACTGCATTATTAATTTGGACGATATTTTCGATCAGCAAATAAAATACTGTAATATTCATTCAATGCCAAAGGATTCTACAGGGTTCCGAAATTTTTTTAAACCGTGATATAAACCGTAACGAGGCATGCATTGTTTTTCTTACAATATGTGCTTATTTTATTATAAAAATATATTTTTTTTATTCTATAAACAACTTTTTTAATGAAAATCTGTTGCTTAGAAATGTATAGTCTTCTTGATAGCACTAAAACACGTGTACACAGAAATCGATCAAATATTAGTGCCGTGAAAAATATTTAAACCAAACAAGTAAATATGCAACTAAACTTTAGGAACATTATCATAATATATGCGTTATTTTTGTGAAACGAAAATCATTTTACCTAATTATTTTAATAGTAAAATAAAAATTACTATTTTTTAGATTCTTCCTCCAATCAAAATATTTATAGGAACTAATATTAATAGAATTAATATTAATGTTTATCTTGTAGAATTTCGGATCTAGTTTCTGTACGGTTTTCTTAAAAATTAGAAAAATCCGGGAAACTAAACTGTAGTATAGTATATACTGGTAATAATGCAGTTTTTCATAAAAAAACTATTTCGACGGGTTCAAGGTGACGAACGCGTTATCTCGTCTAGTAGGTTAGTCTAATACATATTATTACCTATCATAGATACTCGTTGTCCGCGCGATATCTAAAGAATAGTATTAATATTATTCATCGTTTTTCCAATAAAAATAAAAAAAATAGCTCGTTCGTGACATAATAATAACGATAATATAGTAATAACACGTTTCGGAGTTCTCGGTATTCTCGGTAGGTGTAGGTACCTACACCTATCTATACGACACACTTATGTACCTTATACTATTGTTATGTTCAAATTCTCGACTTTGACGTTGTCCACGCGTAAGCTCGGCTCGCCACGTCGTCAACAGTCAGTCGCCGCCCCGTCATTTGTCTACACGGGAATTATTCGGTTCGTTTGTGAAAGTCAAAACGATATATTTTATCAAAATTCACATTCGACGTCCCGGATAATTTATTCGAATATCTACACATGGGTATTAAATAGTTAACTAATAACGATAATACTACCGGAATCCGATGTCGCGACCACTGCGATTTTCACACTCGCTCGCCCCGAATCGGTTTGAATAATAATTATTATAATTGCGCGGATTCGCTAAAAATAATTTCGCCAAACGGTGACTACAGTGCTGAGACTTATCTAGATAAAGTCATCAAATCGAATTATTCTGTACAGACGTACTTTTTTCCAAGGCTAGGCGTTTACGACGCGAAAACTTAAAATCAAGATAAACAATTAGGTTACTAATCACTGAGTTATATGTACTGGTTACAAGGCTGGTTTTCCTATACGATTTTATTGTGATCATAAAAAAAAAAAATCTAAACAATTCTAGTTGTACTTTTATAATATGTAAGTACTAACTAGTAATGCCTAGTGTCTTTCTGGTAATAGATCCGCCCCGTGATGTTTTGTTTATGTACATATATTATTATTAATATTTATTAATAAAACAAAACAAAATTATTAAAATGTTTAACACTTGTAAATGTACGTGTTTTATATTTTGACTGTGATGTACCCAATGATGAATATTTAAATCGAAATCGGTCGCATAATACACTTATCGTAATACTCCAGGCGACGCATTTATTAATTTTTTTATTTTTATATATACATTTTTTTTATTTATACATTTGTTTACTATAATTAGTATTTATTAATATATTAATTGATAATAATTTAGAATTGAAAAAAAAACAAATATTCCGTGGTTCTATAATCGTGATAATAGTGATAATCAGTGATACACACACCGGAGGGGAAACGTAGTCTCCCATGGGGCTGCAATTGAAATTAATTGTATCTATCCTCAGAAAAAATGTTAAATACACCAGTGACCAGGTTACTATACAATATTATAGAACTTTTCACTCAGAATCTAAAAACAAATTGTTCAAATAAATTAAGAAACTGAAATTCATAACAGATATAAGATATTGCACATTAAATTGATAATTTATAAACTTTTGTTAATATCTAATAAGATTTTTAAATGTATTTACTGTGTGATTAAAAATGTATCTATTTTTTGTCTAGTTCAGTACACGTCTTATATTTGTTTCTAAATAAAATCGCCTAGTCAGATATAGTGACCGGTTATCTTTTAACAGCGAAGGGTTTTTCAGTTTCTGAGCTTAGCGATGCACCTATGTTTTTTTCTGTCTGCAAACAACTTTTCTACCAGAAATATGACTCAGTTTTCCAAATGTACAGCTTTTTCTGAAAACAAATTATACCTAGTTAGTGTATTCAAAGGCTATTTTTCGATTTCCCTAGAAGTTTACATAATAATGAAAACTTTTCTCGGAAAAATCAGGAAAACCCGTAGAGAAAACGGAAATATGTTCGGACAATAATTGCTGAATTATTGAATTAATAAATAGTAAATTATTGGTAATCATTATTTTTAAACTTGTATTTTTGTTGTAATTAGGCTAAAAATAATGGTAAGGACTTGATATTTTCACAGAATACTTGCGAAGTACGCGAGTATAAAGTCTTACATTAGTCTTTTTTAGATGTGGTATAACATTTTCAAATCAATCTGACGATTGTTGAGCTATATATAGGAATTTTCTAAGTTCATCAGTTTTTATTTGGTTTAAGGCGGATCAAATTATTATTTCTGCCAAGATTTAACACGAGATTCATCATAAGTTGCACCGAGAAGTCAGAAAAAAAAAGTTGAGCGTAATTTTGTAATTTTAGATTCCAAGCGTAGTGAGGGAGCTATTGGTTTTACCAAGATGTTTATTTTTTTTCTTTCTTTCATTTTTTGTTCTAGTCTGTGGACACGTTTTTTTTTTTGTAGTAAACTTGCTCCAATTTTTGCGCGTAGCATTTTTTCTAAAAGCTGTAATTGTCTAGATTGTACATAGAGGTCATTTTTGATTTTTGACGCCATTTTTTAACTAAAAGCACTTAAGTGGGAAAAACTTAAAAAAAACGTACAATTTCATTATTTTATAAAAACACGGACGACGTTTTTTACCGGAAAAAATGATTTTATCGAAAAATCACAAGATACATTTTTTGTAACCTTTTTGATTTACTTTATTATGGTATCGTCGCCAAAACTTTTGAGCTTTTATGGAATTTTAATTTTTGAGAGTTATTTGCTGCTTTCGGATATAAATACACGTAGGGACTTGAAACTTGGTAACAATACTTATATGGGACTTCCTTAGACGTGGTAAAATTTCCAAAATCATCGGACGACTTTGTTATTTCAATAAGCGTTTTGAAATCAAATTTAAACGAAAATCGTAAAAAGTTAAAAATTACTGTACTTCAATCTATGTATTACCCGAACTGCGCTCGAAATCTTCTTTCGTCAGCAATGGTGTATCGTTGCTCGCATATATAAACGAAATAACCCCATGTATCCTACATTCCCAACTTCTCACCTACAACAGTGGCCGCTCCCATCCCCTGTATCAACTTTTTTATTTTTTTTCTTATTAGACCGTTTTAGATTTAAATTTTGACGAAAATCGTATGAAAAAAAAAAAAAAAAAAAAAAACCCCTTGGCGCGTCGGGCCCAGAACTGTCACTTCGTTAGCGACGATTTTCGATATCCGACGACGGCGATCGGAGTCGCAGAACCGATGCCACCCGCCGCCGCCGCCGCCGCCTCCGTTTGTTGGCCGATGCTGCTGCGATTTGCCGCACCACCGTTCTAGTTAAATACCGTTCGGCGGCGCGCGGTTGGCTTTGTTTGACAGTTCCGCCGCCGCCGTCGCCACCGCCGGAGTCTTTTATATTTTCTTCTCCTGTTGCCGCCGCGCCGCCGTAATACCTCGTCCGACTGTACGCTGTCTATTCTCTACTCCTCTCTTATTTTACACGCTCGTCATTATTTGGCCGTCGTCGTCGTCGGTGTATATAATACCACGGTTATATTACATATATATATATACATTTTTTTTTTTTTTTTACCCGTTCGGTTTTCATCGCGGTGAACTCGCCGTCGGATCGTCGTACCGTATGAACACCACCGCTTGAACCGACCGAACTGTCGATAGAAAAAAATCAAAAAAAAAAAAAAATCTATACGCACATAATCGTAAATAAATACAACTTCGGGGTTTATCGTACAGGTATAATATAAGTGCACAAGTACAATTTACTTCAAGCGAATATCGTGGCGAGTGGCGGACATACGAGACACGAGCGCGGGAAAGGTAAGACGCTATTTTTGTTGATTTTTTTGTTCAGTTTTGTTTTTTTTTCTCTCGTTCATACCGGATTCCCGTTATAGCCCACACTCGGACCGTTATATTATGTGTCTACCTATTACTTATTTATTTTTTTCTAGTATGAAAACAACAAACCGAAAAAAAACTCGAAAAAGACACATTTATAGTCTACTCAGTAAAACTTCATAAGTCAACATTTTTATTTTTTTTCGTATACTTTGGTAGATGTTGAAGTCACAGTTTGTCGTTACTCCTGTAGTATATTTTCCTAAAATCGACTTACTAAGGTTTTACCGAGCAAGTAGCCGACGATATGACTAGTGCTTCACTTTGGTGACCTATAGCACTCGCATTTCATAATGTAACTCACTAAAACCCTATACTATTACAATATTGTGCTAATTTGAATTATTTTATTAATAATTAATTATTTATTTTAATTGTAAAAATTAATATAATCACATTTGAGCCGGTTTGGTAATTTTTTCGCACTACGGGTGCTAGTTGAACGTCACACCCATTACTTCAAAATCTTTTTTTCAGGGTTTCGGGTGGTTTGCAGATTTGAAAAACGTCATTTATAATTTTGTAAATTTTGACGAAATTATTACTCTGTATAATATTATAAATTTAGGGCTCGGATATTTTTGAAATTGTACAATAAAATATAATGAAAATCATTGTTTTATAATAATACTATGCAGATATAAACTTGATTCGTAATCTAGTAGTAAAAGGAATGATACCGTTTTTGCATATTATTGCATATTCTCGGATTGCGGACAATGCGAAAATGCATAATACAGAATCTTTTTGTAAGTTTTTACCGGTCATTAAAAAGGCGTAATAGATGTCCGTCTATTCTATATCGTGTTTGTTCCAATTTATTTAGATTTAACACGATAACATAGATAACGTATATAGTCGCAGTGGAATTGAAGTGTATATATAAATCTATAAATTTCGATTTTATAATCGGTTCACTTTATAAATTAGCATTGGTTTTTATTAAGTATGCTATAATATTAATATATTTTTTTTTTTCTAGTAAAAATCACGATTATAATATATCATATCTTATTATAATCTTGGTAAAAGCTCAAACTTTATGATTTTTTTATACATATGTGGTAATTTATAAGTCTTTATGAATAAACATACAATGTAGTCGAATCGTTTCAAGTGCATAAAACTCCAAGCCCAGAATTTATAAATTTCGCGATATATTCTTAAAATATTTTTATAATTTTTCAAGTTTCGATCGTAAATTTTATATTTATTTTTTCTAAACGTTACAAACCAATTTTTTTCTCGTCCGATACATATTAACGTTTTCTATTTAAAACGAGCCACATATGCAAATGGAATCCTTTGATTAGCCAGATATAGCGTTATTCATTTTAAGTAGTTGGATACCTTATTCAACTCAATACAACTCGATACAACTCAATCAATAGTGTATTTGAGGGTGTGGGCGATAGGGGCCATCACCTCCTAGAGATATATTTCAAAATCACATTTTATGTTTGTTAAAATTATAAGCGTTTATAAATTTAAATCAATAAATAAATACATTTTTTTTTTTTCATAAGAAATTTTCGTTATTCTTTTATAAAGATATTCGTATCAATAATAGATAATATAACAGCTCGCGGGTGATAATATCACCTCCGTTTTTCAGCACCTTCACACTTGGAAGGTTTGAATAATTGAATGCACTTATTAAGTAAAAAATATTAATATTTAGGTATTTGTAATGACAATATTGAAACAAATGTCTTTATTATTCGGAATATGGTAAATGCTTTAAATGATTGATTACTTTTGATTTATTTTTTAGTAATAATAGTTAAATTCTCTCCTTTTTCTTCTTGCTTACTATACTCTCCTAAAATCCACTTTTTGACTTGACACTTTCTTATTATTTATATCTCTACATTAGTTATATAACTGCTGCTTTTATTATTTTGTTAATAGGTTAAAAATTCGACTGAGAAAATTGCTTAACGGGTATGGCACTGCTTAATATTCATAAATCAGTTGCATTAAATATTATTGATGCTATATCATTGACAGATCTGCAAATATTAAAAACATTTTGTTTTGGAAATAAAAATGTGCTAACAAATGTTTACAATTTTTTTTAAGTAGGAGGTTGTTCTCTTTTAATATCGCCTCCCTCCCTACCCCGCCCTGAGGTGAAGACTTAAAGACGCCACTGAACTAAACGTTTGTTCTGATAGCGTCTCAATGGATTATTATGTCCGAATCCGACGATCATAGAACAAATGTCTAGTTGCTTTATCAGCAAAGTCTATGGTGATTTTTTATCGACTAAGTTTTAACTATTTCACTGAAGACAATTAATGACCTCTGAGCAGTATCAGGTTTGGACCAATAGTAAAAAAAAAAAACAGACATCATATATTAACGGTATAAAAAAATTGTGATATGCAATCAAAAAGTCAATATGAGAATTCCATTTGTGTCTGTAGCTCATTTCAAGTAGGGAACGTTGACGCGCTCCCTGGGTATACAATTATGCATTCACTTCGTACACATGCACAACGGACGTTACTCATCAATACGCAAATATCGTACGATCGAGTCCCGCTAGTAAAATATCGATTATTAGGTAGGTACCAATCTATTTGAAATTAATATAGGTGTATGAAATCAATGAAAACCTAATAATTTGTCATGATATTGTATCAGTAAAACGTCAATAATATACGTAATAATATTCGTGTACTATTTCAAACTCGCGTTTATAATATTATTATTTCCACACGCTGAACCGAATAACGAGTTTCTGGCTATCCGAAGTACATTTATTACCTACTACGTAAAATGTAAATGCAATAACGATACGCGACGGTGATAAATAATTAGGTAATATTGCAACAACGACATACATCACGAATTTACGAACGATCGTATCGTTAAATTAAATTATTATTGCGTTTAATATCGAACGCAAAGGTACTTAAACATCTCCATTATTAAAAATATATCGTAGCGAATTGGCGTTCAACAGAATCGATTGTGTGCCGTTATTTTTAATATTAGAATGAAATGACCTGTTATTGTAAAACATAAAGGGAAGAACGCCTCGCCATTGTCTATGTTGGTTTTTTTTTCCGTAACTTCAATATTTAAACGGCGAAAACCCAAAAGCGATGTTTTTCCATTTAAGTTTGACAATGGGTCAATTCACTCTAACATTGAAACTAACAGCATAAATCATATTGACTTTGCTGTACGCAAATTTGTAAGACAGAGTCTTAAAATGCATGTTAATATGATTATCTGACGAGCACAAAAAAGTGAATACATTCGGTCGCTCATTTCACTCCGAAAGCGATAAAAATAAGTGAATTATCAAAAAGAAACCTTTCTGATAAGTATGTAAAATGTGTGGCTTTCACTGTCAGATGTAATTGAGTACGTGTAAAGAAATATTTTTTTATTATTTTATTTTTATACTTTTTATTTATTATTAAAATTTAGAAACTTTCAAATAAAGAATACAACTCATTATAAACCGTAGCGAGTTGTAAGTATTCTTCGACGTCGGGATGTCCATAACTTGCCCAATGCTTAAAAAATAAAGTAAATATAATTCGTATTTTCCAATCAGTGGTAGTTTAATTGATATGCATTTATCTATTGTATCTACTATCTATAGTATCCTCGAAGTCTTAAAAACATTCAAAATTCCAGAAGCAAAAATGACTATATGTCGGTCTTGGACACAATCTACATAATATAAGAAACGCACAAAAATTTTAATAAGTTTGAACTTAGGTGGATTTCCTTTTCTACAAGAAAAAAATGTCTTTCATTTTTTTTTTTTTTTTGGTAATAATCTATCTTCACTTTGAGTATAATATATTATGTATGTATTAAATTTCCCTAATTTCTTATAAATACTTACCAATTTCCTACTTGCAATAGTGGCCTACCCGCGGTGCTGCTTTTTTCAACAGAATTTTTTCGTACGCACGAATGCTTTCACCGTGGTCTTGCATAATTTTACCGTTTTTAAAAATGACCTATACTTATGCTGTTATTATATCTGAGATTAATAAAATAGAAATCTTTAACAATCCAAAAACGGTGTAAACGACCTGTATGTCTTTAGCAGAACAATACGATGACAGGAAATGTAGGTTTTTTTTTTCGATGTATTATTATAATGTGTGACATGTTCATCAGCCGATGTTCTGGACTCTGGAGATAAGTACACAGTACAATGATTACTCATTGGCACGGAGAATAACTGAAACTTATTTTGTTTTTTTTATTAAAGTACCTAACAATGAAATAGGTATATTCTGTGTATTGGACTTTATATATATATATATTGATTCCGGTAAAGATAATTATTGAGAAAATGAGTAATCTCGTTGATTTATACATATTTCGACGGTGGAATATTGGTCATGTTTTGTTATTGTTACATCCAAAAAAGGAATAATAATGTGAGTATTTTATGTTATTCGGGTTAAAAGACGATCGTAAACGTGTTTTTCGAGAACGCGATTAAATAAAATGATTACTTATACTATTTATTATAGTAAATAGATGTACCTACCAGATGCGTTTAAACATAATTTATATAATGATCTGGTAGAATGGAAATTAGACATGCGTTTATTGACATGTTCTGTAGCAGTAGAACTATTACATATATTATCTCGTATTGAAATAGCATCGGCTGCTGTCAAAAAATGTTTGAGTCAAGAAAAATGTTTATTTATATCTTATATAGTATAGTCATTAGTCAGTAAATGATAGTGTGGGCAGTGGCACAGGTAATACACATTTTTTTTTCTGTTTATTAAAATATAAATTCGAAAACGATACATTTTCAATTTATGTTATAACTACTCGTACTAGTATATTATTTGTTTTTCTAATATGACTTTATATACAAGAATCTTACGAATCTTCTTTTAAAACTCGTTTTTATGACGTTTAAACGATAGAACTATTATATAACTATGGTTATTTTTAGTTTTGGTAAAAATTTCAAATTAATATTATTTCTCAAAAAAATTAACAACACGGTTTATTTATAACTAATTTTGAAAACTAAATTATTATTCACTTCATAATGCACTATTATGTATTAGATTTTATTAAAATAACGAAAATCTTCATCAAATATAGAAGTAATGTATAGAAATACTGTATTTATAAACACTAAACAGTAAACACTATATATCTTTAACTTTTAAGTTCGTAAGTAATAAACAAGACGTGTTATAAAAAAAAATTATCTGTTAACTTTTAACTTTTTCTCATTAATACATATTAACTTAACTGAATTAATACAAATCATTAACTTGCCGAGCGTTGCTGTTCCGTATAGATAGTAATAAACTAAGAAATATTTAAAGACAAACATTAAAATATATGCACATAACAGTATTGCAATTAGCGCAAATTAGACTAATTAGTATTAGTAGGTAGGAGGTATGTTACATACAAAATAATGAAATTTAATTAATAAATTTGATATATTAGGTTAGATTAGATTCTCATATTATAATAATCCATAAATCATGAGCTACAAAAACCAACCTCCTACGCACTGAAAAAAAATTAGACACCTTTCAAAAAAATCCTTTTAATAAGCCACTGAAGGTAGGTAAGTAGGTAGTGGATGACTAAAGCACGTTTAGATAAAAATAGATTATGTATTTCCAACATTATATTTTATGAAACTATTAGGTTTTTTTTCTATACAGAAGACATATTCGTCTTTTTACTCGACAATGTAAATTACCTAAAAAATTCAAGTTAAATTACTAATATTTTTTTATATCAGATATGAATATTGTGTAAATTTACAATTTGTGCATATTTCACACATCACTATAACTACTTATAGTATAATAAAGAACGATTTTAGAAAGAGCCTAAGTAATAATTTATTATATAAATTATCTTTATCATTTACTTTTTATGGTTAAATTTACTCTCTGATATTATATCGAAATGTACTGACATAAAAGTCCTCTATCAAATAATAATACAAAATTCACATAAGAATTGTTATTTATTATCAAACGTGTATATAAACTACAGTGGTACAATTAAACGTGGTTTAAAATTTCACATTGAATTGAATAATAGGTGTGTAATCCGAAAACAATCGAAATTGAACCGTCCAATAATACATTTTCATCATTAGATTATACAGTTTTCTTGGGAAACGATGACAAATTCAAACATCACAGTTTGTATGTGAATAAATTACAAATCATTGAATAGTACCTACCTATATAAAAAGAAAACCGAAGTAGGCAAAAAAAAAAAATGTTTTATTTATTTTAAAATGTTGTAATACTATAGGTACAAGTTTAAAACACGTCGCAGGACTAGTTTGTAATACAGCGAATTTCACTTACATCTCGATACGTGTGAAATGATGAACTTTGTATAAATTTTACGTAATGTATAAAAAATGTGCGACATAAATGTTGAATTTTATGTGACTTGAGATCGAGAGTACTCTTTTGTTTATTTAACATACGTTTAGACTGCGTTTTTACGCAGCTCTGACTTGAAATAAACGCGCAGTTGTAGAAGTTACAACTGCGCATTTCTAAATTTTAATTTATACAACAATAGTTTAATAATCCATAAGTTCCTATATAAGTGTATGTAAGATATGATTAAAATAATACAATTACAGTAAATCTGAACTATGTACATTGTACAACAGTATAGTGAATATAGTTTATAAGTTATAACTTATAATAAAAACCAGGAAACTATAAAAATAAAATTTATTTGGCCTTTTTTTGAGCTTGCTACTTCAGATATAATATAATAATTATAACATAATACCAATCATTATAAAATCCACTATTGCGTCAGCCATGATGATTTCTAAAACAATCCTTAAAATAAGGTCTGCACTTTTGAATTTACGATTTGTTCGTTTAAGCAAAAAGTATACACTTTTTACATAGAATTCACACTACAATATAGATTAGATAACTACATATTCGATGGCGTGACTGGTATGAATAATTTATTCCTTAGATATCAAAAATAGGTCAAAAGGGGTTTTTCTTAAGCTAACGTAATTTATAAACTTTTACAAATGGTACATGTTCTTTACATCACTAATGTATCTTTAACAATAAGAGTACATCTCAACATTTTTTTTTTTTTTTTTGAAAATATATAATTTCAATTTGAAAACTTGTGATCAAACTTACATGTTAAGTATAGCGATCGTGTAGTTTTCTTTATTTTTTTGCGGCGGCCCTGATTAATTAATTTTGGGGATTTTGAATGTCATAAAAGACTCCCCCTATTAAATATAGTCCGGCTTGTATTGTGCAAATATCCATATTCGAATTTTTTTAAATATTTACACGGAAAAGTTGAATTTCATTTTTAACCTTTTCATATACTTTATGAGTAGAAAAATATAAATACACGCACATGTAGATACCTACAACTGGTTCCGGAAAAGAACAAAATAATATACATTGGTACAACATAATTTGTAACGTTATTTTTATAAATTTACCGCCAACGCTCAACGCAAAATACGGGGAATTATTTTAACCACAACCACGGTTTAAAATTTTTTCTTTGTTGTACTGACGTATAAGGTTTTCTTCACATATATTATAATATTGTGTTGCGGTAAACCGCCTCACTATAGTATACGTGGAGAGAGAATTTGATTGTAAAATAATAATAATAATAATAAGAATAATGAAAATAATAATAATAACAATATCTTCAGTGTCATTTATCATCGTACGGTACGTTTGTCGGCAGTCACGTTCTCCCGATCGCTGACAGCAGGTTGTTTCTTTGCGGTTTGGATTAGGTGTTCGAAAACTATGCGCTTTCGGAGCAAGCCCAAGTATATCTACTCTAAAAAATGTTAACATTTCCTGCTTAAAACGAATCATATATATAAATGGAATCTCCTGATGGTTTTTTAATTGTTTATTACAAATTTATAATATCGATGTAACATGATACTTGAGACGTATTTTTCACCGTTGGTCCGAACCTAATACTGCTCCGAGAACCTTAGTGCGTTAAGTGTAAACCTAAAACACCGCCGATGAAAAACCACGAGATTTTTTAATATAGTATTAAAAAATTTGGTATGATCGTCAGATTAGAATCTAACCCAGTATTAATTATATGCACGTTAATCTATTTTGACGCCATTGGTACAGATATTGGGATAGCTAACCAACCTGGGAAGTATATACTGGTTTGATTTCCAATCGCCTTTTTGTATTGCCTTAAATATAGTAAAAGTTATATTTCTACAGCAGGAAAATATTATACTTTTTAGTATAATTATGTTTTTGGTTTTGTTTGAAAACATTAATAAAAATTAAAATATATAATTATTACAAAAAAAAGGAAGAACTTCCAAAATATCGGGGGGGGGGCGAGAGAATAAAGATAATTTGACATCCTTGGATGGGAGGGGCTACAGATCCACCTCTTCTCCCTTTTGTTCTCTATTTCAAAAATCGTAAACCTGACAAACTTAACTTAAAACGAATAAACGCCATATGTCTGGCTGATCAAAAGATTCCATTTACTTCATCGACTCGTTTCAGGTAGGGGATGTTAATACGCCTTCGGGAACGCGCAATTTCGATAGTTTTCGAACGACTACGGATATAATAAGGTGCCGGTGGAAATTTGTGGACTTCATATGTCATAATAATATTTTATTATATGAATTACACCCATTCGATATTATGCGTGAGCGATAATTAGCCGTACCGAACCTGTTCTCGGAGGTCGCTGCGATCCTTTTGTCGCGCAGACGACGGAATAATTACGATAATAATTCATGTGTATATATATATATAGTTGCACATAAATAGGTACCTACTGTTTAATTCGTAGAACAGTCCTCCCCTCCCCCCATCTCGACATCCTTCGTACATATACCCGATCCTCTTAATCATATACTTCGACGAGGTAGTAAGTACATTGTAGAAAGTTTTTTTTTTTTTTTTTTATCCTAGACTATATTACATTAAATAGGTGCACTCGGTGAAAGGATATAATATTCGATTAGTATATATAGATATAGATATAAATATAACTTGCGTAAAGACCTGCGGCCACACACTGCCAAATATGGATATCGACAGCTAGTTCGTTTTGACGATAAACAAGCCGTTACCGCGGCAAGATTCGTAAATATGAGAAAATGTCAAGTTGATCTTTTTATGGTATACAGATGGTCAGTATAGTTATATTATTATCAAAAGATTGATACAATGTTTGATGGCAAATATAATCATAGTGGGACGTCGTTAAACAAAAACAGTGCTCGCGAACTTTTAATTTATACAGGTATTGGAAGATCGTGTATACGGAAAATTAACGATTAACCATTAGTGAACATTTGTAATACCAAACGTTTTGTTCCAAAATAATTTTATCAAATGGTTATCTTGAAATTAGTAAATAATTTAAATTCTATATTTGCATTATTGTTATTTTTTAAATTTTTATCTAGGGATAAACACCGTCTATACGAAAAAAAAAAAATGGATAATAAGAATATTTTATAAAATAACATGCATAAGCGTGAGAAAGAAGTCGATGAAAGAAGTCACCCATTAGTCGACTTCAATTTTGGTTATTTATAATAGGTACAGTAGTTATTCGGGTACAGTATTATAGGAGGTCACGACACCATGTTCTTTTTAGCCTGCGACAAAAATTTCCGGAAAGGGTTGGTATGTTTGAATTTTTTATAAACGGGTTTTAGTGAGAGGCAAGTTTATTAAAGAATCGGCTTTAGTACATTTTGGCATCTTCATCAATTGTTTTGATATGAAATATATCGTGGTGGAGAGTATGATTAGAAACAAAGAAGGTAGCGTTAATAACTTTACGGAGCAAGATGATTTGAAACGTTTGTATTTTATTCGTATTCGGTTTGTTGGCCTAGTCCCAAAGTTGAAGTTCGTGTGTCCAAGTAGGTTTTAGAAGTGATTAATAGATTATTAATTTGGTTTTCAAGTTATTGAACTAATTGTTTTTAGAATACGTGAGCGTGCGTTTATGTAATTAATCTTTTAGTTTTTAAATGTTTATTCCAGGTAAGTCGTATCAAAATGGAGTTTTAAATATTTAACCGTGTCCGAAGTAAGAATTACAATATTTGTTTATAAAAAACTTTGGGTGTTTCAGTGCTTGAGTCTTAATGTGAAGGTAGTGTGTATTGATTAAGAGTAATTTATTTTGACTTTCCATTTATTAAACCAGTCAGCTATTAGGTTCAGATGGCGTTGTAGATTTTAAATATAAATCATAAGAATCATAGCATAAGGCTGTAATAATTATTACAGGCAAAAAAAAACTTAAACATGTTGAACAGAACAAAAATTATTGCATTTATCAAACCTCTGAGTACATAGGGCCACCATGTATGTTGTTAAAGCGCATATAAATAAGAAAATTAAAAGATAATTAATCATTGCTATATTTTTTACAAAATATTAGTTTTTTTTTTTTTTTTTTTTTTATAAATTATGATTAGTAAACCAATATTGCTAATACTAGTAGGTACATTAATCACGTTAATCCCGCGTTATTATTTTTCGTTTAAAAACTTATTATTGATTCAATTAATAATATAATGGTAATTCAATTCATTAAATAATATTATTGTGTAATTTAAATAGGTATCAACTAGATTCCCAATCGATTTACTTTTTAAACTATTTTAAAATATATTTATTTTCGAGTTAAAATTATCTTACATACTTATAGCTGTAATTGTTATTAGAGAAAATGTGAAAGTTGATTTCGACATTTTCAAAACACAAACAGTAGTAGTTTAAAATAATTAAATCAATTAATTAAGAAAAAAAATAGTTGATACTGGAGACGGATGCTGCCGTTATTGTGGGCGAGTAGATGAAAAGGTGGGATACATAAAATGATTTAACTTATATCTGCAATGAACGATAAACCATCGCTAACGAAAAAGGATTCAGAACGATGTTCGATTATACATTTTTGAAAGGCCATACTATTTGCGATCTTAATCAAAATTTAATTTTAAAACTTATCAAAAAAAAAATAAATAAATAAAAATACAATACTACATTAAACTGAATTTTTTTTTCACTACTAAGTAAGGCTTATGAATCTCCTGTCAAATTTTCAAGCATTTATGTTTAGTCTAACAATTTTTTATCTAAAGAATATTTACATAAATACAAATAACGTAAAAAACTGGCAAAATTAAAATATCTATAAACAGCTCAAAACTGGCTCAAATATTTTGAAAATGTTACCACGTCTTAAAAAAATCAAATACAAATTTTCTACAAATATAACTGAATTATATTAAAAAAACAAAATTTGAAATAATAAACAAATTATTTTCGTAAATTTTCCCATTCTTTCTAAACGTAATTTTCGGTTTTTCTCAATTATTACAAAAACTACCAGAAATATCGGTAATGCTGCCATAAATATTTGCCATTTTACCTATAATTTTCTTTCGATTTTTTTCCCTCTATTTCGAAAAACTCCTCGAAAAATTAAAAAGTGACCTCTCCAATTTATACTAACTAGATAAAATTTCCTTTCAGCAAAGCTGCACATTGGAGCAACATTTTTTGAAAAAAAAAATAATAAAAAATTGACTACCATGTACTATAGCAATACTATAGTATTTTATAAGAGTTTTAAAATTGAATATTGACGAAAATCGTGTCAGAATAACTTCTGCTTGTTTATTATGAAATACATGGATAAATTAATATTTAACCGATTTTTAAAAAAAAGCGTATTGAGTATTTTATTATATTTACGTATGTTCCAGATGAAACACGTTATTTTGGCAGTATTCTTTTTGGCGAGTGCGGCGAGATGTTACGATTACGATAAGGTGTTGCGGTTGTCACTTTTATTTTACGAAGCACAGAGGTCGGGTCATTTGCCCGCCGACAACCGAATTCCGTGGCGGGGCGACTCTGCGACTACGGACAAAGGGCAAAATGGCGAAGACCTATCCGGAGGATATTACGACGGTAATTTTACCAAATACAATAAAAATCTGTATAAAATGTTAAATATAAATTTAAAATAAATACTTCAAATGTTTAGATATTTAAACGATTCGATATACATGATATTTTATAATATTATATTGCTATATTGTATAAAACAAATGTTGAAAATCAGGAAATTTTTACAATTTTCATACTCAGTAAGAACATAGTATCATATTACCTAGAGATACGACTAAGACATGATTCCCAATTTCCTAGTTTCCGGTTGTCTACAAGTAACATACGAATTGGTTCTGATGAGCTTTCATAATATTAATAAAACTATATTATGTTAAATTAGCTTTTTTTTAAATTAATTTTTTTTTCAAATTATTATCATTTATTATATATTCAACTAACAAAAATTTCCTTTCCGTTTTACACAGACTTCAGGGTCTAGAATACCCTGGTGTTGTAGTGAAATTTGGTAGTCATTCAATTTTTTTAATCAAAAACTTTTAGTATTTTTGAGTTTTATAGAACATTTAAACTTTTTATATATTTTTGGAAAATTAATACAATTTTTTAAACGAATCTAAGCTGAGCTCGGTTATTAGTATTGCTTTTTCAACAATATGCGTTTTCACGACAACAACGATTATTTAAAAAAGATTAAAATAATAAAAACAAAAACGGTTGCCAATGACAAATTTCCTTATTTAACCTTCAGAACCAATTTTTCTTTATTTTCTCGGATGTTAATAAAAATTTAAAAGTACTAACTAGAGTTAAAATGCAACAAAAAGGTCTCTTGTCATGTTTTAGTTGGAGCAAGATTTCTAAGAGAAAAGTTGTTTACAGACAGAAAAAATGTTTGAAAAATAAATAAAAAGGACGGACATACTTTGTACGTGGGGGCAGCCATTCAGTGACAGATCCAGGGGGAGGGAACAGGGGCACGTGCCTCCCGTCAACTTAATCCAAGTTTTTATTTATATATTTTATATTAATTTTATATATAGTTTATAATACATTTACTGAAAATATAAATAACGTGCCTCCCTTTAAACAATTTCTGGATCCGCTGATTTAAGCCACTGTTGTAGGTGGGAAGTTGGAAAGGTAGAATACAGAAGGGAATTTAATCGGTATCTGTAAGCAACGATAAACCATTGCTACCGAAAAAAACGATTCTTAGAAAAGTTCAGTTGATATTGTTGCTTTGTCAATAATATATGACATATTGTGGTAAAATGAGTGCGACAATGTGCGTTTCCATGACAAAAATAATTGTTTAAAAACTATTAAAATAATAAAAACTTAATAATAACAAAAAATAAATAAAAACGGTTGCTGATGACAACTGTATTTTAAATCGACCAATCTTTTTTTAATCTAAAGAACCAAGTTTTCTCATTATCTCGAATATTAATGAGAGTTTCAGAAATTACCTCTCTAAAGTACCACTCAGAGAAAATTTACTTTCAGAAAAGATGTTTGATAATCGGAGTTAGCTTTATGGTAGAAAAAGTGTTCACACAAAAAAAAAAAAATAAAGAAACATTGTAAACATTATAAAACATTGTAAAACTAATACATTCTTCGCTAAACTAAGAATCTAAAATACACACTATTGTGAAACCAATAGATCCTTCGCTTCACTCTGAATCTAAAGCAGAAATTAACTAAAATGTTTAGGTTGTCAGTGGTACGTGTTATAATTAAGTAAAGATACGTAAACAACCAAAAATAATCGAGAGAACTAAAAAAAGCGATTTGTCTAAAAACAATCGAAATAGGCTATGAAAGCACATTAAAATTTCATATTTGAGATCATTGTAAACATGGCATGGGTTTCCATAACATTCTGCTAAATTTTAAATTAAGCCAAAATAGTAAGTAAATGCTTGATGTTCCGAACCCTGGTTATAACACAGATATACCTACATGATATTATAGATATATTACTTGTTAACGGTCTACTTTAAAATCACAATAAATATTATTGAAATACTTCCTATAATCCTATAATTAAATAAATTGCACCTACTGGTTATATTGTATACATGCATATATTAGAATACTATGAAAACCACTGAAGAAATCGTTTACCAGGAAGAATGTCAAGGACTTATATGTAACTTGTATCTGCAAATTACAATAATAACACGTCGACACGTTTTCACATATTATAATTTTTTACATCGTGTTATTATCACATAATTATAGTCTTTAGTAAGTCCCTGTTACATGTACGAACTACAATGAATTATCGGAATACATTTTTTAATATAACAGTTCTTGTATTATTTGCGATGAAAATCATTTTTAAAAAGACTGATATTACTGATGGGTGTGCCGTTGTTTTAGGAGGAAAGTTAAAAGAAAGGATATCGAGAGCAATTTAAATTAAGTTTATCTATACGGTGTAGTTATACATTAATGTGTCCAGAGGAATAATATTTTTTTCACCTCTAAAATAGAAAACAGAAATTATACTCTTGTCATCAAAACAGTATTGTGATCTTTGCTTGGAAAATATGAACCCAACCACACTTTATCATATAAAAAATTAATTTAAACTTGAAATTGAGCAAATTTACATTTATAACATATATTATATAAGGTTGTTTTTTTTTGGGGGGGGGGGGTGGTAATTTTTAATTTTAGTGTACTAGCCTCTAGCATTTCCCAGATTGCACCAAAACATATAATATTACATAAACTGCACTAATTTATAAGTGCACTTACAATTCCCAATATATATTATCGAATTACATATGATATAGACGGGACATTGTACACAATACTCATGTTTATTTTGTATTTTATATTGTATCTATATTATTTGTTTTCACGACGCATCGGTGTTTAATCTGTCAGCAATAATTCCGTCTATTACCCACAAGTATATTATCACAGATAAATATTATATCGTTGGACTGTGCGTATATTACGCCCAGTCCAACGTATTGGCATAATAGTACAATTCCATAATATTATATTATATAGCTGTATTAAATAAGACGCGTTTCGTTTTGTCGAGACAAAAGTATATGCGTAAATATGGTATAATATTATACTGTATAAATATATATTATGTCGTATATTTACTTAACATTTTGTTTTATTTAATCCTTTATTTATTTATTTTTGTAAAAAGTAATATTCAGTCTTTATAATATTAGCAATTTATTATCAATTTGTACTAGGGCGATCCTTAAAACTGAACTTTGGAAATTTGTTAATTATAAAAATCTAAATTTGTTTGAATACATTTAAAAGTAAAGTATACAAATTTTAGGACAGTCGGACAAAAAATTTAACCCATGTCACAAAAGGGTTCAACTTGTATATCCTTATATTTTTAGAAAATAACACAGTAACTATACGCTCAACTAAGTACTGAGCACGTAATCCGGATCATTCCGAACACCGGATTACTGATCTGCGGATTGAACAAAATGTGACAAAATATTATCCGGATTTCAATGACCAAATTCGTATTGATGTCGTCGATCCGGATTAATGTAAAATTCAGGTTAAATTCAATTTTAAATCGTCAATTAAATGACATTAGTGGTCGTGTCGTTAGACCATTTTAACCATTTAAAACACATTTCAAAATTGTTTTCATTAAGTTGATCAAGTTATTGTTATAATATATTTCATTTACTTATTTCTTTCCTGATTTATCCAGAATTCTAGATTAAATGTATAATAATGACTAGGTTGATATCCATATTACGAACTGAATCCGTTAAATCAGCTCAAACAAATTTTTTTTAATGTGTTCTACAAATTGTTCGAATGCAGATTGCGGATTGTTCAAACTTCTACTCTGCAATATAATACGTATAGATTTCGAATCCTATAGACGTAAATACTTATAGATATAGACGTATTAGTTGTAAAAGTACCAATTCGCGTTTTATAATATTATGCGATTATAATACAATATTGTATTCAAATGCATTACAGACAAACATATTATATGGTTAATATGAAAAAAAAAAAAAAAAATCGAATATTTGAATTTTTTTGTCAATCATACTAAGGAAAATATCTACACAATATAATAATTATTTCAGCTGGCGATTTTGTAAAATTCGGTTTTACAATGGCAAGTACAACAACTATTTTGGCATGGGGCTGTTTGAGTTATAAAGAAGCATACGAGAAGGCCAGTAAGTATGTCTTTTATATGTAGCACAGACGCGAGTTTCACACGAAATACAAATTTATACATCCATACCTATATTTTTTTTTTAATCTTAATTTATCAAATTAGTATAACAAAAATTCTATTATTAATCGTTAATAATATTTTTAATTTGTTTAAATACAAATTTATAATGTATTATTGTATTATAGACGAGTGGGAAAACGCATTGAGTGCAATCCGTTGGGCTGCTGAATACTTTATCAAATGTCATGTTAGTGATTACGAGTTGTACGGCCAGGTGGGAGACTTTAGTCTGGATCAAGGATTTTGGGGTCGGCCCGAAGACATGAATATGTCCAGACCAGCGTACAAAATCGATAAAAATCGACCAGGTAACAATTGCCACGAATATACAGATAGATACTCGAATCGCGTGGGATAACATACCTATATTATAGATAAACTTAAAGAGATTGGTAACGGTTTTCCAAACTTTCTCCAATTTTTTAAAATTTGAAATTTTTTGTTTACATTTGATGATAAAACATTCCTACTAATTTACTGCACGATACCAATTTAAGGGGCACGATCTTGTTTGCAGACGAATATGACGTTTTAGACCAAAAAATCAAACAAAACTGTAGGGATTGCGTTCACGGATTTCAATTTTTAAAATGTTTTATGGTAATTAAGATTCTTTACTGATCGTAACGACATTTGTACAGGTTCTGATCTCGCCGGAGAAACATCAGCTGCACTGTCTGCCGTGTCGATTTTATTCGCCAATATCGATTCGAACTTTTCGACGAATTGCCTGAATCATGCTAAACAATTGTACAAGTTTGGGACTCAGTACAGAGGTCTGTATCACGACGCCATCAAAGGAGCTGCGCAATATTACGAGTATAACCGTATACGACAAATTAAATTTCGTTTTATATTTATAATTTTTTTTTTATTCCGATACCTATATAAAGATCGACAGACTACGGTGATGAATTAACGTGGGCGGCATCGTGGTTGTATAAAGCTACAAACGAATCGAAATATCTGGAAGACGCCGAATACATGTACATGAAATATAGACTCAAAGAACGGCCAAACGAATTTTACTACAACAAGAAAGTCGCAGGTATACAGGTAAACCGTGCGTCGATTGTGTCATAAACAAATAATTCAATCATCGATTTTCAACTTATTATTGGACATATTTTAGATTCTAAGCGAAGCGAAGAATGCATTGGTTTTACAATTATGTTAACTTGTTAATTTTTTTTTTTATACTGTCTACAAAATGTCTACCAGTAATTTTGTTATGATTTTCAAGTGTAACACTTTTCCAGAAGGAAATTTTATCTAGTCGGTTCATTTTTCGATTTTCCATATAGTTTTCATAATATTCGGGGGGAAATAGGAAAATTTAAGAAAATAATGCTTTAATTTTTTAAAAATTTTTTTCTTGTTGTGATTCAGTTAAAAATATTCGTAGACTTGAAATTCGGACAGAACACTTATAATTTAGTGATCAAATTATCAAAATTCATCATAAATATTACCTTTTAAAATATGTACAACCGAACTCCGCTCAGAATCGTTATTCGTTAATAAATAAATATACCAAACTCTTATACCAGCATAGTACGTATCTCAACCAATAAATCTGTAAAAAAATTTTAGAACTAAAAAAATTGATACGCATTATTGCAGTATGTGTGACGATATTATGAATAACTATTATTAATTGGCCGTATACAATAATACATTATTTCAGATGATATTGGCCCAACTGACGAATCAAGCGGAGTATATCGAAGCGATTCAAAATTTTTGCGATTTCAATTTAAACGTCCAAAAGAGAACGCCAAAAGGATTATTATACATTGACAAATCTGGTACGCTATGTTTCGCAGCGAATATAGTTTTCTTGTGTTTGCAGGTACTTCTATCTTTTTAATCGTACTCAATAAAATATATATTGTTGTTATTAATGCGTTGACATGTTGTTTCAAAAAAAAAACCTGTATAAATTTGAGTTACTTTTATAATTTTTCAGGCCGCTGATATCGGTGTAATGTCGACGCAATATCGAGAATTCGCCAGAGAACAGATAAATTACATGTTAGGAGATGGAGGACAAAGCTACGTCGTCGGGTTCGGTGAAAACTACCCTCAACAACCACACCACGCGGCAAGGTGATAATTTAAGTGTAAATTAGTACAGTATGCAATTACAAGACCAAAACAATTTCTATCGATTTTCGAAAATTTGTGTGTCGTGCCATTAATAGGTCATTCTTTACGTTAGGATGAAAATGGACGATTTTTAGCCATGAAAACGATATTTTTGAATGAGAAAACTATTGCCCCTTCAAATTTGTCGCTTTGTAATTTTATGTACACATGTGTTTGTGTAAACGCATCATCAGAATTCTTCGGCATCGCATAATTTGTATATTCCTGTTGTATATTTTATTAATGTAACCAGAGACGGAATGGCCCGTCGAATGATACCAAATCGGTTCTAGAGTTTATATCCCATATGCCGAATTGGTTTTGAAAAAAGTACTTTAAGAATGTAGGTGAATCAAATTTGTTCCTGTTTAGTACCTACATGTATACATTAAATATAATATCATATTAAAATATGTAGGACATTTTTAAACTTTTATCCAAAAATAATAAAATAATAATTGATTTTTTTAGTTTTTTTACAAAAACATAAAATTCAAGTATAAATATTTGTATTACTTATCTCTGCGAGTAATATAAAAAAAATACAGAATTCAATTAACTTTATTATCTCAGGAGATATTGCAATAAGTATATCTTCGCGGGACACCATGTTTACCGGAAATAAAATACTGAAGTGTAACTAGTATATAAAACCATTGATCGCTGATTAATCTCAAACAATACTTACATGTATCACAAATTCAAACGGGAACCAATCAGGCTACACCCAGCATATCAAGTTACCAAGAAAATCCCGGTAGCCTGACCATTGACCTGGGCATTTTCATCTATGCTATTAGCCTGAGTATCGTATTTATAATAAAATTATAAAATTGCTGAATGTTGAGTAGGCGAAATTCCATATTATTATTTAGGTGGTAGCGATTATATTAAATTAGATAAGTTAGGAAACCTGCGTAAAAGTGAACAAAAAAGATAGACATAAAATGAAACAGAAATATGAATGTGCTTCTCCCTTAACTTGAAATGGTCACGGTTTTCTGCCTTGAAGATGCTATATTGAAATCTAATAGAAAACGAATTCGCAACATCCGATCTAATCTGTATGATAATTTATTCCATATCCAGTCCACGACTGTATTTCCCCTAACCCTCTACATTTTCCCAGCTACCACTTTATAGACATTGAAAAAATGTGACATGGAAAAAAAAATGTCTCGGGTTGATTATATCTACCCCTAACTATGGAAATCAGGATTAAAATATACTTAATATTATTATCGTTTCACAGTTCTTGTGAGGATCGGCCGGCCCCCTGCAATTGGGACGCATACCGAAGTACCAAGGCCAATCCGCAGATACTGTACGGCGCACTGGTCAGCGGACCGGATATGAACGACAACTACAAGGACCTGAGGGAGGAGTACATCTACAACGAAGTGACGTTGGACTACAACGCGGGTTTCCAGTCAGCCGTGGCCGGACTCAGGCTGCTCGAACTGCAAGCGGAATCGGAAAAGTCACAGAGGTCATACGAAGGCGGTCTGTTCAACCGGAACTGGGCAAATATCTTCGAACCCAACGCGACTGCAGTCGTTTAAACGACGAGTTTTAACACAATTGCCCCTCCCCACTCCCCAGTCAATTGTCACATAATTTATTTATTCGTTTCATATTATAATATTTTATTTGAATCGGAGCCTAGAATTTCAAGAAACCTGTACAGGTATTTGTTTGTAGTGCACTGCCACCACCGTCGTTTGGTTGGGATAAATTTGGTCCTAACCAGCGCCAACCTTTTTTTTTTTATTATTTTTTTTTTACTTTATTTTAATTACATAATATACGAAATCGCGTTATTTTAAATGTGAATGTAAACTATAAATTTGTAGTGCGGTTAAGGGAGTAAACACGTTTTTTCGGGATGATGCGAAACTTGTAAATACGGTCACCGTCATTACCTAACTTAATCTAACCCCACTGGTTCGTGGTCATAAATATATATATATATGTATTAGTACGTACTTATGTATGCGCAAATGAGGAAAATGGGAAAGCCAAACGACTATATATTATAAATACACAAAATACGACTTATACCGATGCAAACCTTTCTGAAACTTTAGACTGTGATCTCGTGTACACTGTATAATAAAATACACTTGTACGTATCTATGTAACACGCTGAAGATTCTGGTGAGCAAAATAAACGGACGAAACCAAAAATGGCAAAAATCGTCTCTAATGTATAACAAAATGGCCTTTCATAAAAATATATATTCTCAATACTTTGCAATTTTTTATTCAGTAAAGTAAAGATAAAGAAACAAAGTTCCGATTTAAATATAGTATCAATCATATTCGTCCGTGTGCAGTTTTATAATATAAAATATGATCGAGCCGTGCATTCGATGGAAAGCGAGTCGGACACGTCGAACACTCGTCTGCGGTGTCAGACCATCGGAACCACGGTGCAAAAAGTACAACACTATCGATAATCTTATTAGTTAGAAATAGAGATCCCTTCTTCTGCAACCTCGAGTTACGTTTTTATATAATAGATATTTTATAATTTAAAATAATAAAATCTAAAAAAAACTTAAGTATTTTTACCGCATAAAAACGAAATAAATGTTACAATTTTATAACCTCTCCAAAATTTACTATCCTATAATATATTTATTTAAAAACAAAAATAATAAAAAATGTAAGTCTTTGGTAATTTCTTATTATAATAATTTGATAATTTAATTTTGTGTTATACTAAGGTACTATTATTTATGTTAGTATTAAATACTTGTAGTATGTTGTAGTTAAAATATACATAATTTATTTTATTTAAAATACCTATTTAGTTTTCTATTTTAACCAGACGCTTACCTACTTACCTAAATTATAAAATTATTTATAGTTAGCTATGATGTTATAATTTTGTTTATGTTGTTTTTTTTTCACTATACATCGATTTTAAATATTTGCACATTATTAAATGTTTTCTTGGGGCCGGTTTTTTTTAAATTGCTTTTAACTAACAGTTAATAGGACTTAAATGACGGTTAATACTATATTCAAATTAAAGTGTTTATCGACTCGCAACTAAATTAACTAGCAGTCTAAACTACCAGTTAATATAATCGTATACACAATCCTCCGGTTTTCCTGATTAACCTTCAGCTAAAGTCAAATGTATTAATAATAATTATCAATTTGAATATTTGTTCTTAAAATTTAAAGATTTTTTTTCATTATAATTAAATTGCTAAACTTCTGCACATTATTAAAAAAAATAATGTATATTTTTTTTTTTTCTTTATTGTGTTTTATTTTCGGTATTTAATGTACAATGAAAATTATTTATCCAAAGAAAGTAACATGAAATATTCCATGTTGATGAGAAAAAAAATATGTACAATTAGTTTTTAAATTTAAAACTATTAATTAAGTACGGCAGACTATCTACTTAATATACTGAACGGTCTAGCTAATAGATTTTGAAAATTTGGTAATAATGTATTGAAAACATCTACAGTCAACAATAATCTTAAAAAAAAAAATAGTGCAATCATTTAGTTTTTTTTTATTTTTTGAGATGTATATATTTTTATTTGTTATTACGGTACAAGGTCAATTTTAATAAAGAATATAGAAAATTTAAAGTTGAAATTAATTTAATATTACAGTATTTTTAGTGTATGAAACATAATGCAAAACCAAATCAATAAACTAAATAAAATTATATGTGATCATTCCGTATTTGCATCAAGATGCTTGGTGTCCAGACTAAATGTTCTAATTTTTTTATATATATTAGTAAAATGTTAACATGTTTAAGCATCGGGTATGTATAATGGTTCATACTTTATATATTTCAGATAATTATATGAACAGCAAATGTTAATTGTTTAATAAAATAAACACAATAATAATTACCATGCTTGAATAATGGTTATTTTTTGGGCGCAACAACAAAATAAGTCTATACGTATCTGGATATTGCACCAATTAATAGAAAATTTATTTCTTATCATTTTGATTAAGAAAATGTTGGACATATCTCAGTATTGTTCTAGTGCAATTATCGGCAACGTTTTCAACTGATATTTAACAAAAACACATTAAAAAATCCTTATGTATAATCCCATAAAAAAAAAAAACCTATATAAAAGTGGAAGATCCCTATATATTATATTATTATGTTTTCTTGGACTCCTGTTTGGGCAAGTGTATATAAGATCCGATGTTTTTACACATAATTTTTAAACATATTCGAAATTTCCACCATTAAAAATGTTTTTCCCTGACAAACTGTCGGGAACTAACATCTTCGATCTTCACTTTTATTTTGTCAGTTTTCAGAGTAAAGTTCAAAAGCAAGTCGGAGCAAAACACCGCACAAAAATTAAGTGTTCATTCACAGATCAATTTTGTCTACTATAATAGTAAGTTACAAATGTATCTAAATGTTTTTCACTTAAAAAAAGTTGCATGTTCTTCTAGTTTTAGTTAAAGTGATCAGAAGCATTTTTAGAAAAAAAATAAAACCAATGAACCTAGACAATATGCACCTACATAAAATTACTTAGAGAATCCATCGAGATTAATTTAATTAATACTAATTTAACTGTTTTCGTTTTTTTTTTTTAAATTTTCAATATTTTTAAAAAAAAATAAACGGACGCTTTAATTTAGTTTATATACAATGCATAATAATAATCTGATGAAATTTTAAATACCTATATCATTAAAAATATGAAATATAAAATATTACCTGGAGCCTTGTCCGTCATAGGTGAAGTTTTGTGAGTTGATCGAAGATACACGCAAATTATATTGACTTATAGTAATAATTTTTCCAATTTAACGAAAAAAAAGGAGTTAAACTTAAGGAAAAATAAAAAGGTGTTATAAAAAGTTATAACGGTCGAAAACACGCCAGACAAGGGCTGAACTTAATGAGTTGCGTACATCATTTTTCTTTAAAACAAAATAATAATTACAATTATCGAAATAACAAAGTAACATGGATACTGTTAATAAAATACAACGATGTTGTCGCCATAGATATTATTAAAGTACTGCCGCAGATATAAATAATAAACTAGATTTTGCTAGGATTTTTTTTTTCTCTGTTGACTACTTCAATAAAAAAAACCTTAGTAGAGCACGTGAATCAGTAGGGAGAATCACGCAAGGGCTCCTCTATTATTTTTATTTTATTTTGAACGACTCCTTACTAATTATTCCTACTAGGACAGAGAGTAAATAATGATATTTTCAAAAAATATTTATTGTCCTATCGTCAACTCAAATAATTTAAATATGTTTTAGATTCTGAATGGAGTAAAGGAGACTGTGGTTTTACAATGTTGTTTATTTTATTTTCTGTGGACAAATTTTCTACCAGAAATTTCCGATTTACTACAATGATAGTACTTTTTCCAAAATAAAATCTGACTGGGAAGGTTTTTTAGGGAAGTCAGTTTTGATTTTACCAGAAGTTTTCCTAATAAATGAGGAAAACGAAAAAATGTACGAATTGTATTGAAAATCGTAAATATTACGGCTTTTAAACCAAACACCGTTTAGAATCATTTTTTCGTTAGCAATGATTAATCATTGCGTACAGATATATTAAATTTCCCTTCTACCTTCCCAACTTCTCACCTACAACAGTGTTGCGCTCATTGAACGAAGTGTGTCCGTTTGTATTTTTTATACTGTGTAAAATATTTCTCCTAGAAATCTTGTTCCAATCAAAACATGACAATAGACCTTTTTGTTACAATTTGCCTCTAGTTGGTACTTTAGAAAGGTCATGTTTTGAAAATCTCATTAATATTCGAGATAATGAAGAAAAACTGGTTCTCTAGGTTGAAAAGATTAAAAAATGAAAAAATAAGGTTGTCAATGACAACCGTTTTATTTATTTTTTGTTACCTACCCACTGTGCAATATTATGTTGCAGAAACATTTCAGGGGAGTTTCAAATCAACATGTAACATTGCATTTATTGTTGCTTTTACGTTAAAGTAACGTAATCAGTACCGCTAATGTCTAAATTTTCTAACGTCACACTTATGTTTCATTAACGCAAATGTAACGCGTTTTTTAGCATCTCAATAACATCTTAACAACTGCTATCTGATGTTATAAATAACTTCCCAGTAACACGTATTTTACCAATACTAGATGTTATATAGGCGACATTTTCAACATAAATGTACAACAATCATAAAAAAAAATACAAGAAATAAAAAATGCAAAAAATGTACACATTTCAGATCTCGCCGCCGGTTTAGAACCTGCCACATTTTAAATTACTTACCCCATTATCTAACGCTCTAACCATTAGACTAACTAAAAACTGAAAGTAGTGATCGTTTCATTGGTATATAAGTTTTCAATTCAAGTGCATTAACTCCAACGGAGAGTACTTTGAAGGAGATTAAATGTTTTTTGTAAAAAAATTAAATAAATAACTTTGTTCAAAAATAGTTCGGTTTTTTTTGGGTACGCCCTCGTACATTGGTATTGCATCGAAAAAGTGTTTACCATTTTGTTATCTTGTGTTTTCTCTTAAACGAAAATATGATTATAATTCGATACCTAGATAGATATACAATTACTCGTATACATTTATTAAAATGTTCAAAATCTTTAATTGTTCTAAGTTCTATCTTTAGGAATCATCAACGTATACACAACTTCTCTATATATTATTATTAATGATTTAACGTGATGTCAGTAAAGCCAACGTGAATTTTAATTTATTACTTACGAAAATATTATTGTGATAATATTTCTGGATTTTTGCATAATTTTTGTTGAACGTCTAAAAGAATTTATGCATGTATAATCAAAATACCTGTGTATTTTATAGTCTTATACTCGTATATTCGTAAGACGTATTTATTATGTTACCTATAGTATATCTTTATTTTTATGGGCACATCCTGTTCACGCCGAATATAACAGTAATTTAAAGTATAGCCTATTTTAGCCAAAAAAAAAAAAAACCATCATTGATTTAAGAGTAGACTTTCGCACCAAATATGCCCGGATAATGAAGATATATCCATTGTAATAATATCTCCGTGGAGATAGTCGAATTCTGTGTTTTTTTTTTCAATATTACTCACAAGGCTAAAGGCCTACAAATATTTATATTTCAATTAATTTTTTATGTTTTGGTAAAAAACTTAAAAAAAAAATAACTCTTTATATTATTATTTTTTTAAAGTTTGAAGATAGCAATTTTACAGAGAGTAAAGTGTATAGTCAATTAGCCATAATAATAATCAATAAGTGAATGTGATTGTAGCTTATTGCATAATTATATGTACTTTTCTCTAAACTTTAAAAAATTACTAATTATCACGAATTTAATAAAATAAAAAGCTGTTATTTAGTTTCTTTACCAAAATATAACAATATTAATTTAAATATGAATAACTGTAGTCCTTATCCCTGCGAATAACATTTAAAAAAAAAAAAAAAAACAATTCATGTGGTGTAATATACATAGTATATTCGTGAGATACTCCGTATAGTTTAATAAAATAGTAAATTATATTCCTGAGATTTTTTTTTTTTTATTGGTACCTAAAAATGTTGGGTATTTAATTTTGGACTATTTACGATCGTCCGGGTCCGGCGTACGGCAAGCTTATTACAAATTAGTAATAACTACGAGTCATAGTGGCAAGACCGTAAACGACTATCCGAGTTCTAGTGATCACTCCTCCTCCGGTTCCCTCATAATGTAGCCATGTATTCGTGTATTCATATGTATTCTATGAGTAACTGCAGTTATGTATGTACTGCGGCACGCGCTATATTGATTTCTGATAACAAAATCAAAACTTGATAAAAGTAAAAATTTAACATTTCAATCGTCAACCAAGCACAGTCAGACATCTATAAATCGACATGGTAACTGCGTACGCGTTGCTACGATATAATGACTTTATATTATGTGACTAAATAAAAATAATCGATGGCGGATGCGCGGTGATTTTATTATACAATACCGATGCGCTTGCACTGTGCCAAGTAGTTACTTGTGTACTTGTATTAATTACCGAAGGAAAATAAGGGGCGGTAATTATGAACATTTTGTTACAGGTCTGAAATTAGCTTAGACATTTCGAATCGTGTGCATAGTATTTTGCCACCCGGAGCAAAAGACACTCCTCCCCTTAACTGTGGCTCTGCCTAAACTACATTTTATAGTACTCAATTATTAAATTTATATTCAAATACGTCTGCATGTTTAATATAGGCAAATAATATACCTAGTTAATATTAATTAAATTTGAAATGTAAATAGCTGCAATTACAAATGGTTTTTTATCGATTCCTCATTGGGCCTGCAGCACTGATGTTGATTTTACCAACATATTATTTATTATTACATTTTTTTGTTTGAAATATACGAAAAAAAAAAAAAACATAAAATCGATAATTATAAACACTTCTAGGGTTTTTCGAGAAGAACATAATATTGTGATTTCTGATATTACATTGTGTATACAAGTTATTGTCTATGTCAACTCTTGAAAAGTAGTCGAGTGTGTGTGTTCGCTTAAATATTTAATACTAAACCCGAAGAAC